AAAAAAAAAAAAAAAAGAAGGAAGATGAGTAGAAGTGAGATTTTTTAGGTAGAGAGGAAGATATTTGTGTCCAATGGCCTCCATTTTCTCAGAAGAGGAGTGAGCCGGTTGAGGTTTGGATAAACAAAGCTTGAGAAGGGTGGAAAATGTTGAGGACAAAAAGTCAAGTAGAAAGCGTTAGAAGGATTACCAAGTAGAAGTGATGGCTACATGATGTTCGAGTGGCATGATTTGTAGGCCACAGCAGAGAGCTCCAGTGCATCCGAGCTGGGCCAGGCCCTTGGACAGGGGTCTCCAACCTGATCCCCCAACTGCAACCTCACCTGCTGTGACTTATCTAGGGTCAGGTCCTCGCCTCAGTCATTTCAACGGTTACCTTTGCCTGCAAGACAATTCAAGGCCCTCTGCATGACATGCAGGCCTTTCTTGCCATCTGACCCCACTTACCTGTCCAGCATCCTGTTTTACCTTCTGCCATAGTGAACTAATTTTAATTCGTTCACCTTTTCATTGCTTCTGGGCCTTGGATCACACAGCTCCCCTGAAATGTTTTTTCCCTTTCATGTCTGTGGGACAAACATTCATTTTTTTTTTTAAAGATTACTTCCTCCAAGAAGCCTTCCGAGATCACCTAAGGTAAAGCCGATCACTCAGTCTCTCCTTTTGCCAACGTACATGTTCCGTGTATATGCCCCTAACATCACACAGCCCTTCCTATTTCAGCAATTCTAAGATGCACCCTTTTTCACATTTCAAAAATCTCTGACATGATCTTACAATAGATGGTGCGTCATAGTTTAATTGGCAGGATTTTTTATTTCTTTGTGGTATCAAAGAAAGGTGCATTCTACACGAGATCATTAGTGAAATGCAGCTTCATTTTTTAACTTCCTAACGTGAGTTGGGCCGTGCTCCACCTTTGGAGGCGATCTTATTTTCCCTCCCCCCAACACACATTTGGGAATATTTGGTTGTATCAGTTTGTTGGGGGGGTGGGTAAGGCTGCTGGCATCTCCTGGGTTGAGGCCAAGGATGGTGCTAAACATCCTATAATGCACAGGACAACCCCACAATTATCCAGCCCAAAATGTCAACAGCAGGAGATTGAGAAACCATCGTGTTAGAGTAACAATACTTTTTTGGGTGTATCATAGGCTTTATTATATTTAATTCAAATCAGTCTTTTACAGTGTATAGTAATCTAAAACATAGCAATTTTTTCCAAATCTTGGCTTGTAGAGCAAGAATAACAACTCTTGGGAACTGCTCTAAGCTTTCTTCATCATTCCCCCCTCATTTCCTTCTGCTAGCCTCCCAAGGGGAAGGAAGGAAGCAAAATTGGAAAGCCAGAAGACCTCAAAGAGATCTGTGACCTTAAACCAATTAGGCTAGCTAATGACAAGGTGGAGACTGGATCCCAAGACCTCCAGATTTCCACAGCCCCACTCAGCCTGAGAGGCAGCTACTGTGCTCCCTGGCTACACGGACCAGCACAGTTTGGTACCATGAGAGGAAACGGGCCCTACAAATAGGAGCTGCGTGACTTAGCAGGAGTTTAGCATTAGTATTCACGCTTTGACACCCGGGACCCACCCCGCTCTCACCCCACTTTATGAGAATTTAGGTTGACTCTGTAAGGCCTCTGAACTCTGTGGGGAATTGGGTTTATGCAAAAATAATTTTGATTCTTAAGTGTGAAGGAACTTTAAATAAATCTAGGTGATTTTGTCATGCAAAAGGCAGAGGGGACTTAATAGGGGTATTGAAGGCTCTGGAGTAAGGGTTATTAATTTGGAAGCGGGGAGCAGGGACAGCTGTCCTCCATCCCAGGAGCTGCGCAAGTGGAAAGGGCCTTCGGCTAGAGCAGGAAGCTGATTGATGTGAGAGGGAGAAAGGAGTTCCAGAGGAAGGTTTTGGCAAGGCCTCCCCGCGTCTCAGTTCCGCAATCAGCTGGGCCCCAGGTGGACCCCGAGTTCCTGGACTCAAGTCCCAGGGCTGTCACCTCCCGCCTTCCGTCTCACAGACGCTGAATCCCCTGGACCGCTCAGCTTTTCAATGGGTGGTCCCTCCGGGCTTTATCCCGGCCCGGCAGCCTCGCCCTGCCGCGGGATCCTGCGCCCCAGCCGGGTGCTCGAGGCCAGACTCACCTTCAGATGGATGGGGAAGGACCGCTCCTGCTGGAGGGGGCCCAGCAGCGTCTGCTCCACGCTGACCAGCTCCGAGGTCGAGTCCACCACGCGGGCCAGCGCGCTGCGCATCGCCATCTGGGCCAGGGTGCAGGGCCCCCGACCCCTGGGGAAGGGCAGCAGCTCCGCGCCCCCTTCGGCGCCTCGCACCACTTCTACTTCTGGGGAGCTTGCCCGCGCCCCAGACCCGCCACTCCTGGCCCCCCGCCGCCCTCCCCCCTCTTCGCGCCCGGGCCCCGGCCGGGCCCTCCGCGGGCCTGTGCGACGCGCTGGGGCAGCGGACACGTGGTCTGGATCGCGCGGGATCCCCGGGTCGCCCGGACCGTCCCCCCAGCCCCACTCCTGCTGCAGCAGCTGCAGAGTCTGCAGAGCCACCATTTGGTGGCTGATGGAGGCCACTAAGGGCGCAGGGCTAGCCATCGCCTCTGCCGGCGGCTCCGCGCGCTCCGCGGGCAGGTGTAGCAGTGAGCGAGAGAGGCGGGGGCGTTTGGGGTCGCCAGGGTCACATTTCCCAACCCGCTTGTTGGCCTTGTTGCCTCTCGAGGGTGGAGCCTGCCCCGCAGGAGGTGGCCAGCGCTGGCCCCCGAATTCCTATCCGAATGGGCGTGTCCGGACCCAAGGCTGCAGGAGGCACTGCTCCCGGTGCGCTCGAAAATCAGCCAATGCTGAGCGCGGGTTCTTCCTCTTCTCCAGGGTTTTGCTGGGAAAACCTGCCGCTTGGTGCAGAAGCATCTATCCGCAGGGATACCCCGCCCCCATCTCCTTTGAAGGATGCCTGTCAGTGATCATTCATGCCTTGGGTGCTGGGGGTGGCAGGTTAAAGACCTACCCTGAGCAAAAGTGCCAAAAGCCAGAGAAAGCTCACAAAAGGAAGACCGATCCCGATCCTCCTCCCTCCCTTTCCTAACCCTAGGAGAATTTTCAGCAACTTCTTGGAGTAACCTTCAAGGCCTCGTGTCCCCCAAACAAAAGAAGGGGACTTATGTATGTGGAAGTTCTGCTCTTCTCTGCTTTGCTCATGCCACACGCGCTCAGGGAATCTGGCGGCTAAAGAAGCATCAGGGCACAGCTGGGGAGGCCCGCTTCCCCAAGTGACTCGGGAAACGCGGGTTTGGCACTGCCCAGACCAGGAGCCCAAGGACGTGGGCAGCGGGGTTTGAAGCTAAATCCTTTTACGAGCCATGAACCCAGGGACAGCTGTACAAATAGTTGCTGCTTTTAATTAAACCTAACTTTGCTGCTTCCTTGGCTTAGGAGAAAAGACTGGGAAATTTACGCTTTGATAGATTGGAACCTATTGTGATTACATTTTATTAAAAAAAAAAAAAAAGCAGCAGACATTTGAGGAGAATGGTGTGGAAAAGTGTTACCGAGCAGCATGGTTTTGGCTTTCTTCCTGCATGGGAAACCACTGAACATAACTTCACAACGCAGGGAAGCGAGTACCAGGGATGTGGGCATGTGACAGACACTGGACCCTCCTGACCTGGACAGTGGGATTTCCTTCTTCCTTTAGAAGGGAGAGTCCCCCCTTGGTGTGGTGGAGTAAGAACTGGAGAGGCCTTTGTGTGGGAAAGCTGCTCCAGTGAGTCTATTAGTCTAAAGGGCGGTCATCAGAGATATGGGGTGGAATTCAGGGTCCTTCAAGGTTTCATCAACTGTAGGATAACATGACCCTGTATAATCCTCCCAACTCTCCAGTGAAGGTTCCTTCTAGTTCTCAGTGTTTTCTTCGCCTATGAAAACAAATCTGAATGCCAAGGTAAAGAAAACCTTTCTTAAACAAAAACGAGTATGTTCACACTAATTATAACTAAGTGAAAATGCATGTCTGTGCATTGACAGGAAATTACTTTGGAGGGAAGTAAATAGTTTGATGTTGATTAGATTCTCTTGATGAAGTTACTTAAGGTCATGATAAAAAAAATAGAAAAATTCTTCTTTGAGTGTGTGTGTGTGTGTGTGTGTGTGAATCCTCAAATATTGAAATGCATTAGGGTTAGCAGAGACTAACCAGGAATAGCAAAAACTAACCCCTAATTTTCACAGAGCATGTCAGATCTCCAGGGGTGCTCCTCTTTCCAGATAGGCAGGAAATCCAGTTTCATGGACTAACTCTTCCACTATCAAATGGCTGACTGCAAAACCTTCTTGACAGATGGAATTCCAGCCAACAGCAGAATTGAAATCACTAGACGCAGCCTGACCTGAGGCCCCACTGTTCTACATCCCAGGCTGACTCTGAGACCCATGAGATGAGCTGAACTTCAGGGAATATGAGAGAAGGGGCCAGAGAACCATGGGACCTATGGGATGGTACGTGCAGCTTCAATCACTGTCTGCGTTTCCTCATATCTTTTAGAGAGGCCTGGACTATCTAGCATCTCAAGGGTTGTCTGTCTTGGCCACGGACCACATTTTTCTTTGCCATGACCTTAGAATGGCTGCTGTTCCAAAGGCTCTGAGTGAGGAAAAGTATTCATGGGCTAGTGAGATGGGTCAGTGGCACAGCAGATCTGCCTTTGATCTGAACACCTCCGAAGTTATATACACTGGGCTACCAGACCAAGTGCTGAATTATACACTCCTTACTCACCATACTGACAGGTCAAAGCCACAGTGTAATAGAAGGCACACTGAAAGGGATGCAGTCCTGGACACCTGATATCTTGGATTCCTAGTATCTATTTCCCTATTTTATGGAAACATACCCTCATTTGCCAGGAGATATCTCTCCTCCTCCATGTTCAGTCCATACAGTCAGGAAGGAGGAGGCTGTCCCACTGCAGAGTGGGCTGGGGCATCTTAGGCTGGGGCCAATTACACATCATAGTCTCATGGTGAATGGTCAGGAAGGGGCATGTGACCCACCTGGAGCCAATATGACAATAATATTTAAGATGCTTTCAGCTGAATGTACTGTATAAAACAAAATAATGGAACTAGAAGAAAGTGTAGGCCAAAAGATGGAACAGCAAAAAAAAAAAAAAAAAAAAGAATTCCTTTGTAACAAGAAAACTTAATATAAAGTCATTTAATCAAAAAGAATAAATTATTGTCTCCCATCACAAGTCTTAAGGTAGTATGGCTCCAGGGCTGGTTAATCTTGAGGAGTGTCAGATCTCCAGGCATGCTCCTCTTTCCAGATACTCTGGAAATCCAGTTTCATGCAGCTCACCCTTCCACTATCAAGTGGCTGACTGCAATGACCCCTTCTGGATGTGAAACTAAGAAGATGTAAGTTATGGAGCTTCTGCAGGCCTCTCGTGAGTCCGAGGGGAGAGCCTGCGAGGAATGATCCAACACTAACGAGAGAACGCAAGGGATCTATAGAGAGAAGCTGGCGGTCTTACAACATCATCTGAGACTTACGTTTAGCAGCACGAGGAGACAGCCCCACCTTTGAGCTTTTCAGTGATACAGGCCACAAAAATCTCTTTTGGCTTGAGCCGCTTTAGGTTGAGTGTATGGCCTCTTGCAACAGAAAGTCACAACTAAAGCAAATTGCTTGACGCGTACTGTAGCGCAGATATGATGTTAACGGAGCAATCTGTGACCCAGAGACCCTCAGGCAAAACATCCCTAAAAGGTCCCTCATGGCCATTTCCAGCAACACTTCTGTCATTCACCTAAACTTTCCACTATTTCAGCAATTGTGGGAAAACCTCTTTGAGCAACTCTGGTCATTGCCGACAACTGATGGGAGCATTAATAAATGAGCAATGGAAATACTCATGACCCTGGGTAATGTGAGATGAAAACTCAGTGAAGTGAGAAGCAGTGTTTTACCTGTTAATAAACATGAGAGAGTCTGGTTAGAGAAACAAGTATTCTGGCCCTTTTGTGACTCTAAAGGTTCTTTTCCACAGGATTCTTTCTTTTTTCTCCTTTTATTATTTCTTTTATTTGAGTGTAGTTGACACACAACATTACATCAGTTTCAGGCTCACCACAAGTGTAGCAAGATGGGAACTTGCACACGGAATCCTGAAGAAGGCTGGCCCAAGTGAGAACAGAAGGGAGATGGAGGAGGGTGCAGCCATGTGAAGCCTTCCTCAAAGGACTCCGCAGGGCCCAGGTACATTTGAACCCTCCTTATATACTTTGGCACTTTTCTCCAAATGGGATCCAAGAGAATTCCAGAAATGGAACTGTTAACCTTCAGCACACCCTAGCAAAGTTCACAGGCGGGAGCAAAACAAAACATGTCCAAAGAGACCAAAGAGTTATTATTTTTGAATGAAAATTATAGTTGAGGAGAAACAGATGCTGAAGAGATATACCAAGATCTGAAAATGTACTGTAAAAAAGAAAACAATGGCACCAGAAAAGATGGAAGCCCAAAGAAGAAAGAGCAAAAAAGATCAAATTGCCTTTTTAAACATACAATGGTAATGTTTGAATACGCCAGGTCATAAAAATGCACATGCAATTCCAGCTTTGGCCTAAACATTTGATTTTCAGGAAAAAAAAAAAATGCAATCCTGCCACGAAACCTCTGAATTGCCAAAAACAATTGTTTACATAGGGCACTGTGTTTTCAGGACATCATATATGCACTGCCTGCCCAAACCCTATTAAACTGGTGAAGCTAAGTGAGGTTCAGTACAACTAAATGTAGAAAAATAGGCAAGTGTAGCGAAGGGAGGGAAAAGAGAAGTTTAAGATGTTGAAGCTCACTTGCGTGTGCCAACATAATCTGATGTGCGATTCACCTCCTTAACACAAAATGCAATTCTTTCCAGATGTATAAATCATTTTACTTGGTTCTGTCTTACCAATAAGTTTATTTTCAGGAGGAAATGGCAGAAAAAAATCAAGAAAGGGATTTTAAAAGAACACATATGATTTTTCCTAATTCTTGTAGCTTTGGTGGATGATTTTATGTTGAAGAGTGATGGGGTGGCCAGGGATTTTCCTGCTGCCTACACGTAATTTCAACAAGACAACTTTGCTGGGTTTTGCTCTCAATTTCTGATTACAAATAAACCCTGAAGACTATCCTTTCCCTGGGAAGGAAGAATTTAAAAGCTGCTTAATTTCCTGAACTATTTGCAGGTTCTTTAATCTTAACAGGGGGAAAAAAAAATGTGACCACCCTCATAACTTCCCATGATCACCTAGTATTTTCAAGTTCTAGTAGGTACTCTCTTAATATGATTGAAAGAAATGCTTGACTTGGGTTAATATACTTAAAACTTAAAAAAAAAAACCAAAAAACAAAAAAAACCTCCCCGATTCCTTTCCTTATATTTATCCTCAATCCCTTTTGTACTTTTTTCCTCTAAGAAATTTTCTGCTCTCGGGATGCCTGGGTGGCTCAGTCAGTTAAACGTCTGCCTTCGGCTCAGGTCATGATGCCAGAGTCCTGGGATGGAGTCCCGCCTCGGGCTCCTTGCTCAGCAGGGAGCCTGCTTCTCCCTCTCCGCTCCCCCTGCTTGTATTCCCTCTCACTCTCTCTCTCTGGCAAATAAATAAATAAAATCTTTAAGAAAAAAAAGGAATTTTCTGCTCTTGTTCCCCAATTTCTCTTCTGTCAGGCTTTATGGTGAAATAGACGTTCAGGTTTTATCCATCCTCTCATTTCCTCCTCTCTCCCTTCTATTTTTCCAGAGTTTTCTTTCCTAAGAAAAATGAGAAAAAGGGGCAGGGACGAGGGATTTTGGAGGCACATGGTTCTTCTGTGTAGCAAGATCACTATGCT